GTACATGTATCCGATGGATCGTGAAAGTAAATATTTCATGCTCACTAGATAATATCATTAATTATTGAATTGAAAATTGAATCACGTTGTTCCTTTAATTAAGTTTTTTTTTTTTTTTTTTAGTTACTTTTTTTATTTTTTAGAGATAGCCCGCCAAACATTTATATCAGCAATACGTGAACGTCCCATCTACTAATGTTAATGGATAATACATACATCTCAATTATTAATTATTGAATTGAAAATTGAATAACGTTTTTCCTTTAATTAAGTTTTTTTTTTTTTTTTAGTTACTTTTATTATTATTTAGAGATAGCCCGCCAAACATTTATAGCAGCAATGCGTGAACGTCCCATCTACTAAAGTTACTGGATAATACATACATCTCAATTAAAGACAATTAGTTCTAACTTCTGTGAGTTTTATTTTGCGCGCCTATTGAAAACAGCCATGCATACATACCTAGACAATTTTTATTTGTGATATTATTATTATTACCATCGTTATTCTTAAATGCATGCACGGACAATTTGAAAAAGAGGTGTATAGTCTAAACCAGGGGGGGTCTTCAAACAACGGCCTGTGGGTCAGATCCGGCCCGCCAGCCCACCGTACAGATACCCTGTTAGTGTTAGCAGTGAAAACATAGAACCAGAAATCGACCATTTATTTATCCAAAAGCCAGGCCCAGACTTACCATTGAAATATAGTTTTATATTGGTTAAATTTGGTCTTTTTATGTTACAATTCGGAGCTTTTAAAATGTATTTATTAATTAAAATGTTTAATATTTTCTTCATTACAAATAATATATGTACAGATATTTTACAGCGTATAAATGAATTTTTTAAATATTTCTTTCAAGTTATAGTCCAGCCCCCAAAAGTGTTTTAGGTACATAGAACCGGGCCCCTGATTAAAGTGGTTTTGTTGAGGACCCCTGGCCTGGTCTGTAACAATGTGAATAAATTAAATAAAATATGATGAGAATTAGGGTAAAAATCTCTTGACGTTATATTTTGTTAAAAGAAATTTTAATTTAATTAACATTTGATCTTTTTGTGTAGACATGCAACTATTTATTTCAAATTATTTGAAACACTGGACCCATTAGATTGTAATCTTTATGAGAAGAAGAAGAACCGTCGAAGAAATAATTGATTGGATGGCTTTGTTAAGATTAGAGGCACAATGAGCAGTGGTTTCAAAAGACACATTAAAACATTTAAAACAACATTAAAACTAACATTTAAAACAACATTTAAAACAACATTTAAACTAACATTTAAAACAACATTTAAAACAATATTTAAAACATAAAAATAACATTAAAATTGAAACAAAATTTAAAATAACAATTCAAACAACATTAAAATTTAAGAAACATTTAAATTTTCAACAAAGGAAAGTAATCATAAATTCTAAAAGCAGACCCACATTAGTGCACCTATAAAAAGAACTATTACCATATCTCAATTAAAGTTTTATTCCATAATAAAGAGAACGCAGCAATATAAATAAATTTAGTTGGGCTATCACTAAATGGGTGTTGCAAATACACTGTCAGCAACAACGGTTATAATAAATCAGGGCTGCCCAACTTGTTCTCAATACACGCAACCCCCACCCCCCCCCCCCCCCCCCCACCCCCCCCCCCCCCCCCCCCCCCCCCNAGGACCCGGTTAAGGGGGGGGGGGGGGCTGGCAATATGTGTAATGTTAATGATTATATAACCAGTAACTTTCGGGACTTGTTATCTTGTTAGTTAACAGACGATCCCGTCATGAGAAGAGGGTTTTTTTTTAAATTCTCATGGCAAGTTCATGAGGCGTGTTTTGTGAATTGGATTCAGTCCGTGATTGCACAGTAACGTCATGTGTAAGCAGCGATGTGTAACCAGCTGTAGGCGGCCGCCATTCGGGATGGGACACCAAGACTGACCGGCCATCACCGTGGACTAATTGTATAGTTGATTCTAGTTGAACAAATTGTATAGTTTTATTGTAACAAGTTTCTTGTCGCTGACGTGAAACTTGATTTTTATTGTAAATTAATAACTTTATAACAAACCTGGTGAGTAATGATGTCTTGATCGGGGGAAATGTTATTGTAGGACAAGCTACCGCTAGCATGTTGATTTGATGTTAGTCCGTTCAAACAAAAATGATTGACATAAACTGGGCATTCTGTGTCATTGATTTAACCTTTTCTTGAAGTCGATGGCACCGAATGTTGCAGTCAACGAAAGGAATCTCTCATGAGCGTAGTGAACTGATGGTTCAAAACGAAACGTGTATGGTGTCTGCTCTTGATTTCGATATTGAGTTTCCTCCAGCACATTCCTAAATTAAAGACTAATTTTCAATAGCTAGTATCTTCAGATTGAGAACATCTGCATATCAACAGTGCCACCATGTTGAAAACTTCTGCATATCAACAGTGCCACCATGTTGAAAACTATCAACTCGCCACGAATCGTGCAGCAAGCGTTTACGTCATCGGGTAGAGCTCAAGTTGTTAGAGCTCAAGTTGCTAGAGCTCAAGTTGTTAGTTATTTCAACCCACATTTAAAGCTCCAAAACTAACATGAAAGAAAACGAAATTTATTTTGTTAAATAAAAAAAATATATATATAATTAAATATTTGAAATGAAAATCGGTTAAAATGTTGATCACTCGAAGACAAATATGTTTGAAACATCATTTTGTAATTTACTGTAGTTGACATCTCTGTTAAAATAGGTTGAGTAAACATCTCTGTTAAAATAGGTTGAGTAAACATCTCTGTTCAAATAGGTTGAGTAAACATCTCCGCTAAAATAGTTGGCGGATGCAAATGTTCAGACTAAGTCAAGTCTTGTAATTTGAACATATTAAACTATATTTTACTATCTGAACGATTCTTACCGATTGTTATTTATAATTGACTCTTATAACAAATATGATTAAGTCAAGGTTGATTTTTATTTTGATTATTTACAAAAAATTTTTGCTGTACCATTTGTCTATAAAGTGACTCGGCAAAGCGACACCCCATTTGGCTTGTCACAGCTGCATCTTCAAGAAAGATTCCCGATTGACCAGCAGGTTGAATCATTTATGATTTACTTCCATTCGGGCAACATAAATACCAATCAGAAAGTCGCTTCATGTATAGCGCCCCTGAATACAAGCCGAAACTCGGCATGGATCATTTGGATGACCACAGTTTGGCAAGCAGTGGTCAGCTCCCGACGCCATCTTGCATGATGACCAGTACACCCATTGGTTCATCTAGCATGTATCATGTTCCGTCTCAAAATACAGGTCAGTTGGTTTAGCATTTGTCTTGGTGTTAAATGTTGTTTTAGCATTGGTCTTGGTGTTAAATAAAAACAACCTTTCCAAAGTGTATATAACAATTCGCATTTCAAATCCAGATTAGTTTTTTTATACATATTCCAGAAAGCATAATCATATCACTTTTATAACATCTAAACTAAACAAAGCATTAAATTATAAATATATGATTAAGAATGCCCCACAATGGCGTAAACATTGTTTGCATAATAGTGTGAACTTTGAACCCAAAGATCTTACACCAAAAGAAAAGTACAGTATTTTATTGGCATTCAATTGACATGTATCAATCATGTTTGGTGCACATTCAGTTGACAGATGTCAATCTTGTGTGGTGCACTTGGCATGTGTCAATCTGGTGTGGTGCACTTGGCATGTGTCAATCTTGTGTGGTGCACATTCAGTTAACAGATGTCAATCTTGTGTGGTGCACTTGGCATGTATCAGTTGTGTGTGATGCACTTGGCATGTGACAATCTTGTGTGGTGCTCTTGGCATGTGACAATCTTGTGTGGTGTTCTTGGCTGTGACAATCTTGTGTGGGGCACTTGGCAGTGTCAGTCTTGTGCCGTGCACTTGGCATGTGTCAGTCTTGTGTGGTGCACAGAGCAAAAGACGGAATCAATTTAAATTCATTTTTATACTTTCAGGTTTTGGAATCAACAGAAATTTGTTTCATCAGTTTTCTTATGGCTACCCTAATGTCCCATATCAAGGTAAGAGCAATAGATCAATATTTTGAATCTTCTATACCAAAGTAAGAGGAATATAGCAATATTTCAAATGCCCTATATCAAGGTAAGAGGATAGATCAATATTTAAAATGTTCTATATCAGGATAAGAGCGATAGATCAATATTTGGAATATTTTATACCAAGGTAAGAGGAATATAGCAATATTTCAAATGCTCTATATCAGGGTAAGAGGAATAGACCAATATTTAAAATGTTCTGTATCAAGGTAAGAGCAATAGATCAATATTTCATATGTTCTATATCAAGGTAAGAGCAAGTGATCAATGTTTCACTCGCATTTGAGCGTTTATTTGGAGATTATAATTTAAAATAGTTTTAAATGAATGGTCAAGAAAGTAGAAAAAAACTTATGAGATGGTTTAAAATATTAATTTTTGACAGAAAAATGAGAAATATGATACACGACGTCGACCATTTAATTAGCCAAATGTAAACAATTTTATATTGACCCAGTTTCACTAAAAATACAAGATGTCATTTTGAAAATGTATCGTGTATCAGAATATTTTGTCGATCACGTATAGTACTCCAATTTTAAAAATTACTTTTTCTCTCTCACAAAGATAATCTATTCGAATCAATGTTTTATTATACTATCATACTTTATATTTGTTTTAATAAATGTGTTCTATTTAATGCGCCTAACGTTGTTTGTATATATATATATATATATCTCGCCTCCAGGCTTAGAGCTCCAGGCCTTGAGCTACCCACGTACCCCAACTAAAGTCAACGACTCGACGGGAACGCTTTGCAGCGTCTCTCCACGCTCGGACGACTCGAACCCTTGCAACGAGGACATCTCTGTCAGCCCCATCAAGGACATCAAGAAGCAGCTGTGCACCTCCAGCCAGGAGGACGACACGTCGGCAGACGACACTGGTGACGAGCACAGCAAACTGTATTCCGGGACGTCGACTTTGTCCATGCAGTCCCGCAAGTTTGCAGACGTCAAGCCGCCGTATTCCTACATTGCTTTGATCACCATGGCACTGGAGAGCTCTCCGTCGGGGATGATGACCCTCAATGAGATCTACACGTACATCATGAACAAGTTTCCTTACTTCAAGGAGAATCAGCAGCGATGGCAGAACTCTATTCGCCATAACCTCTCCCTCAACGACTGCTTCATTAAGATTTCCCGCGCCCCGGGCCGGCCAGGCAAGGGCAACTACTGGGCATTACATCCAAGCTGTGGAGATATGTTCGGCAATGGAAGTTTTCTGAGACGCGCCAAACGGTTTAAGCTGGCAAAGGCTAAGGGTGATCACTCTGGACAACTTTCTGGCATGAGCAGCTATGGGCATTTTAACTTTTACGGCAATCACCCGGTGAGCTACAAGCCTTATCCATCTTTCAACCCACTGACATTTGGATCATTATCCCATGGCCTCTCTCAAGCCCAGCACTATCCTATCCCACACAAATCCACAGACTGGAGCCCCCAAATGAACTATGGCTCTTACTACGGCAGCCCCGTAGGGTCAACGCAAGGTCTACCTTCTCCCGGTCCATCAAGTCCAGGAGTTCCAGGCTTCAGCCCCCCCAGTCTCACGGGGCACCCCCTCAGTGTTTCAACGTTCAGCGCCACGCACGTCGGCACCTCACCCTACTACAGCCACAGCTCCGCCAATGGAGGGAGCCCCCTGGGCCACTCCGCCTCTGGTCCTTACGGCGCCCCGCATGGGTCCAACCAGACCTTAAACTCTTTCTGCAGCTCTTCATTCCCAACGTCACAGGTAGGCGGCACCTACCATTTACCCGTGACCGTGGGCTCCCACGTGCAACCTTCGCACCCAGGTCTTCCAGGCGGCTATACAACCCTTGCCCAAAGCCCGTACTCGTGTGCACAATACGCATCTCAAATAAGGACTTAAGGATGCTCATTCTAGTTAGACGCTCAAACATTTTGTTGTATTCAATTTACCTGTAGGTATTGATGACTATAAATTATGCAAATTACCATGAGGTATTCAATTTGCCAGTGATTTTTCGATAAGGCAAGATGTCGGCCTGTGACACAATTCTGCAACCAGACCAGTGAATTAGTCCAAACTTGCACCACAGTTGATTTCAGTGTTTCACTTGAAACTCCTAGGTTCTTCAAAAATGTCATCATCACAAATTTAGGGAAACTTTGTCCAGAAAGAAACAATTGCATTATTTGGAAGCTTTTTTTTTCCCCTTTTACTTTATAGAAAGTAATTAGCTTAGTTAAATGTTTTTGAAAAGACATACACACATCTCCTACTTGTCTGCAATTAGACATACAAATATCATCTGCTTGTCTGCAGTTAGATATACGCAAATCTAGTACGTGTCTGCACTTAGATATACCAATATCTCCTGCTTGTCTGCAATTAGACATACACATATCTCCATACTTGTCTGCAATTAGTATCTTTTTGTAGAATCATTGCTCTTATTACTGTGATCCCACGTTTCATCTTTGATCAAAGACTCGCCGTCTGATGTCGAAACCGTGTCTTTAGGCCGTGTATTCCCACGGTTCCCAGGATTGTCACCTGTTCCTCTTCACCAATTCACTGGTCTGTGTGCCAAATGCCCAATGTTGATTTTATTGTTTATATTTTACACAGCTAACTCTACTGGAGTTTCTTTTATTGGACTCTTTGGGTTGTTTTAGCTCAGGTAGACTGCAGTAACTTATAAATACTTTTTTTCGGACCCTCTAGAATACCTTCACATCGACAACTAGTGGGATATCCAAAATAGAACACCATTTCCTATAGCACCTTCATTGTATAGAATAGTTTTAAATCGATTAAAATTTCACCTTCACATTGACCAGAGTAGTTTAATTCCTAAATAGATCACCGTTTCCTATAGCACCCACACATTGTCTAGAATAGTGTATTGCCTAAAATAGCTTACCATTTCCTGAAATAACCTTCAAAGTGCACGCATTGAACTTTTTTTAAAAGTAATTTTAATGGCGTTAGGTTGTGTTGTGTTGTTTTTTTGTTGTTTTTGTTTTGTTTTTGTTTTTTTGCAACAAACTCTAAAAATCTTTCTGCCTCGAAATAGAGCTTAGCTTTTTTTTTTTTTTTTAATTCCCTTTATTTTCTAGGACAAGGTGGTGAAATGTGTTTTTATGTTTTGCCCACAGCACTCTAAGAAAATGTAACGGGTTAAGTGGCACTGTATCTTAGTTCAGTTTTTACAGCACTTGTCTTACAACCAGTCTAAGAGTGAGTACAACTCAGATCAGAGTGAAATTTAATAAGTCATATTAATGTTGTACGACTGAAACGTAACAAATCCATTTTTATTAAGCTTTGCAGTTAGCGTCATTTGTATGTTTCTATTTATAGCTTCATTTTGATTTTCCCCATTTTGTTGACGTCACTCAGTTCAGATTCTCACTGTGCCACTCGCTGTCACGTGTGTGAGGGAAAATACTGTACCAAAATAACTATTGTGACCTTATTATATTTCACCTCGTTATGGACCAGGTCAGATTTGTATTGACAATTCACTATGACGCACATTGATGTTCTACAATAACTAGGTAGTGGCTGTCTGGTTGACTGGTGTTAAACATCAAACATTAGATCCGCTGAAGTAGACCAACTCTGTCATTAGATCCGCTGAAGTAGACCAACTCTGTCATTAGATCCGCTGAAGTAGACCCACTCTGTCATTAGAATCGCTGATTCTACTAAACATTAAAAAAACTAATTACAAAATGAGTCTCTTCTTTTGGAATGTTAATAAACATGGAATGTTTTAAATTAGTTTATGATAAATTCATTCTTCTGCTATTCACTACTTTACACGATTGTATTCCTCAATTCTTCAAAATATTGTTCATACATTTTCACTATTGAAAAGATCCCAGGCAGTTTGCAAATTCCTTATATGCAAATCTGCCGTATTGTATGTATACTCTCCGACTATTGTATTAAATGCATGAAACAATTAACCATAATTATCAAATATAATTGTACAATGTCTTTAATAAATGACATACAAATTGTTTTATAGGTGATTATGTAGGATTGTCCACTATTAAATATTGTACAATCTCGCCGAAATAAAGATTTTAAAATTGTATAATTTGGCTTTGATTCTTGTTCATATTTAAACACAACACAGGGCATAGATTTAAATGGGATTCATGAGAAATGTGTCGTCTCTATAATCTATAACTTTTGCATCTTTTGTTCACTTTTAAATTTATTTTTTTTTACTTTATATAAGTAATCTCAATGTTTACTGATGCACAGTAATACAATGGAACTTTTCTCTGCTGTGTCTTCGGTCTACGTTGACATATCTGCGTATTTTGTCTTTGTTGGCATAGTTGTGTCTTCAGTCTGACAGAGCAGCGTCATCTGTCAAGGTTGACATAGTTGCGTCTTCTGTCCCTGTTGACACAGCTGTCTTCTGTTTCTGTTGACATAGCTGCGTATTCTGTCTCTGTTGACATAGCTGTCTCCTGTCTCTGTTGACATAGCTAAGTCTTCTGTCTCTGTTGACATAGCTGCGTCCTCTGTCTTTGTTGGCGTAGCTGCGTCTTTTGTCTTTGTTGGTATAGATGTCTTCTGTCTGTTAACATTGCTGTCTCCTGTCTCTGTTGACATAGCCATGTCCTTAACTAATAATGACCGGGTATTGAACAAAACATCGGAACGAATATCTACGGTACTTGTGACAGACGTGACATGAAGATTGATGTTCAAACGCACATTAAAGTGTAAAAGATATACATGTAATTATAGATGCAAACATATTTTGAAAATTCGTCTTTTAAGGTAGACCAGTATCAGAGCCAGACTTTTAGTCAAAGCTGTACTTAGAATGGTAGTCAGAGCCGTACTTAGACTGGTAGTCAAAGCCATAATTAGAATTGTAGTCAGAGCCGTACTGAGACTGCTAGTCAACGCCGTACTGAGACTGGTAGTCAGCGCCGTACTTAGAGTTGTAGCCAAAGCCGTACTGAGACTGGTAGCCAGAGACACATAGAATTACATGTGTTTAGTACCATGAAGGAACTAGAACTCTTCCCTACTATACCTTACCTACGGTCTTGGGGGAGAGGCATACTTCTGTTGAGCGATTTTCTTAGACTCCACCCTCCAAGTAATGTAAACAGAGCTACATTAGGCATAATTACACAGAGCAATGGTTTTAGATGCTTTAATTAGCACGGGCTTGGTTAAAAATGGTTTAGATTTAAACAAATGCAGGTGTTTGAATGGAACATGGATGCGTGCTTGCAGCAAGCAACCTGTCAATAGCTATCTGATATCTACAATAGAAACCATTACTCAAATTGTTGACCGAATTGTCATCACTGGTGACACGTGTGGACTTAGCATTATAGACAGTTGTACATCATTCTATTAATAGCCTGAAAGCAAAAAAAAAATGTATATACTCCGTACGTCACCCACGCCCCCCCCCCCCCCCCCCCAAGGAGATGAACATTAACATATATGTCGACACAATTTGACCAATGTCGTGGCCTGTGGGAGTCACGTGATTATTTTATAGCAATGTTCTAACCTTTGTGAGTCCCGTGATTTTTCTTAAACAATTCGTTGAAGATAAAATTGAAAACTAGAACACGAAAGTCTAATCCATTCTGGCAATTCAACAATTTTTGTCCCCCTCTCCTCCGTTTTTTCCCTCCATTTCCCTTGTTAACTTAAACCCAGCCCAACCAATGAATAGTGTTCTATGTTCTATGTTCTATGTTCTAATCTATGGTACTTTAACAAATAAAAATCCAATCATCCACCATCCATCTTACCATGTACCCACGTGTTTATCCAGGCGTGGGTGTAATTTGTAAAGTGGCAAGGTGCTAACCAAGTGTCCAAATACCAGATTTTAATGTCCACCCCTCCCATTCCTGACCACCCCCGTCACGTCCACCCCCCCCCCCACCAGACCCCCAGTCCTGTCCACCCCGTACACCCGGTGGAGATGTCACTCAAGTAATTTGTAAAGTGGCAAGGTGCTAACCAAGTGTCCAAATACCAGATTTTAATGTCCCCCCCTCCCATTCCTGACCCCCCCCGTCACGTCCACCCCCCCCCCCCACCAGACCCCCAGTCCTGTCCACCCCGTACACCCGGTGGAGATGTCACTCAAATATCACCACCTCATTTTTAGCGGCTTCCCGTTAGCCTCCGCGAGTCCACGGCCGGGAACAAATTATCGAGTTCTCACCCCTTTGTATGACCGGTGCCTGGCACACGAGCTCCGACAATGGACGCGCGCCTTCAAACGATTGGCAGGTAATGAAGTGTGCAGAAGGTCTCAGAATATCTCACTACTTGACCAAGCAGAAGGTCTCAGAATATCTCACTATTTGACCACGCAGAAGGTCTCAGAATATATCAGTATTTGACCAAGCAGAAAGTCTCAGAATATCTCACTATTTGACCACGGGTTAAATGTTTGAGGAAAACAATAATGACCTTCAGTATGGGATAAAGGTCCAGTTAATAAATATGTCAATTTATGTTGGCTTCAAATCATTAACTGATGGAACAAATGTTTGCATATTTTAATCTAAGGTTATTGGATACATTTGTTATTGTTTTTTTATTTTTTATCCATTTGCAGCGCAGCTGGACTCAACAAGTTAGAATCACTATCCTAGTGGACTCATCAAGTCAGAATCACTATCCTAGTGGACTCATCAAGTAAGAATCATTATCCTAGTGGACTCATCAAGTCAGAATCACTACCGTAGTGGACTCATCAAGTCAGAATCACTATCCTAGTGGACTCATCAAGTCAGAATCACTACCCTAGTGGACTCATCAAGTCAGAGTCACTACCCTAGTGGACTCATCAAGTCAGAATCACTACCCTAGTGGACTCAAGTCAGAATCACTACCTTAGTGGGCTCAAACATTCACACCCCGAATTTCCACTGCATATTTTGGAGGGCATAATATGTTTTTGAAACATTTCAAATTCAACTATCATTCTAGATATTAAACAAAAGGCATTCTGTACATTAAGGCATTATCAAGTATCTATCTATATATATATATCGCTAAAAAGGTCAAACAAGACGGGTCAAACAAGACGGGTCAAACAAGACGCAGGCTATTTATAGATACGCCAGAGAGTGGTCCAATAATGAGTTCACTAGCGCGCAAAATGTAATTCCCGATAACTACGCTAAATGATATCTATATATTGTTAATAACGCAATTGCGTTTGATGCCGAATATATTCTTTTCGGAAATAAAATCGTCTTAATTTAAGTATTGTGTTAAAAAAAAAGTATTCGGTTTCTAAGTGGTTTGGACATGCTTTCGCCAATGTTTCCTAACTACGCTAAATCATTTATATATATTTTTTTAATAATGCAACTTCGTTTGTTGCGTAATATTTTTTCTATACGATAAATGAAATCGTCTCAATTTAAGTAAGGTGTAAAAAAAAATTATTCAATTTAAAAGTGTTTGGGACATCAGAATATGTAATATTGTTCATGGGCGTGAAAATAAAGTGTCAGTGACGTATGATGTGGGGGGGGGGGGTGTAGCAAATATTGGAATTTATAAATGTGCGATACTTGAGTTCATGTTTTGTCAAGAAACTTTAGTAGATGGGAAGTTCACGCATTCAGCCATGCGCCCGACCCAACAAGCTCGCGGCGTATGCTACGCCGAGGGTCGTCTAGTTGTTTAATATTGTGGGAATCCATGGTTTTTTTTAAAGGATTAAAAGTGTTTGGGACATCAGAATATGTAATATTGTTCATGGGCGTGAAAATAAAGTGTCAGTGACGTATGATGTGGGGGGGGGGGTGTAGCAAATATTGGAATTTATAAATGTGCGATACTTGAGTTCATGTTTTGTCAAGAAACTTTAGTAGATGGGAAGTTCACGCATTCAGCCATGCGCACGACCCAACAAGCTCGCGGCGTATGCTACGCCGAGGGTCGTCTAGTTGTTTAATATTGTGAGAATCCATTGTTTTTTTTAAAGGAAGCTTCTGACACAGGGATCTCACTACCACAACGCTTAACCTAAACACAATACGGATCTATTTTTATTCCAAGAAATGGCAAGATAGTTCAAACGACTACGAGACAATAGATGAGTAGAACAATACATAAGAGAGGGATGGAAGAGACGGAGAGAGCGCGGGCGAGAAAAAAAATTGGAAAGAAGAGAGATAGTGAAAGAGTGAGGGGGAAAAGGTAGAGATAGGGGGACAGAGAGAGTGACAAGGCGGAGAGAGAGAGAGGGAGAGAATGAGAAAAAGTGAGAGAGAAGGCGAGAAAAATTGTGAGAGAGGAAAAGAGAGAAAGATGGAGAGAGAGAGAGAGAGAGAGAGAGAGAGAGGGAGATAGAGAGGGGGAGTGTGAGAAAAAGTGGGAGAGAGAAGGGAGAGATATGTTTAAAGAGGGAGAGAGAAAGAGGGAGAGAGAGGGGAGTGTGAGAAAAAGTGGGAGAGAGAGGTGAGACATATGGTTAGAGAGGGAGAGAGAGAAGAAAAAAAGAGGGAGAGAGACGAAGAGATAGAGAGAGGGGGGAGAGGGAGAGTGAGGAGATAAAAAGAGGGTGAGAGAAATATATAGCAAGAGAAGAGGCAGAGTTAGGTTACACTGCAATGTAAACGAAAGAGTTGGTTCAAGATAGACGAGTCTCCTCTTAGGCAACTGGAACCACTTAGTAGAAATGAACTCCTTTTGAAACAATTTACTTTCTGCAAGGAGTACACACCACCTGAGACATGCTAAGCTATCAGTAGACAACTATCTTCCGACTGTCAGTTACACCCCTTGCCGCAGGAGAAATAAGGCCCGTATTATCTCCCCTTGTGTTCCGCTAATAGTTCTCCGTGCAGACAAAAAACGTCAGCAGCTCTATGTGAAGTCATGGCAGGAGTTACTGGACTTTAAAAAGTATAGCAACAATACCACACGCCACCCTACACTTCTTAAAAAATGATAGAACAGTTCCGGGGCAAAGGTCATATAACTGACGATGAGAATGATCACAGCGCTCTGGTGTCATAAATCTAATTAAAGAAAAAAGTCTTTAAATAGTTCTTAGATGACGTTTTTTTTAATTT